ATTTGGCCATGTAGGAATACAAGGCCCTGCAGATGGTTAGAAAATCAAGCTTGGAGGATCTCAACAAGGAAGTCATAGAAGACTTGCAAGGCTACTCTACTGACTTTTTCTGCAGAGGAAGCTGGGTACTCCTCATCATTCGTCGTCATCAATCCATCAATCATCTTCATCATTCCATCCTCATCATCAAGATTGTAGAGAATTTAGCAATGCCAACCTTGACATGCTGAAAAGGAAGTACGGACAAACACAGGCCCCTAAAAGTATTACAGCTACAGAAAAGGGGCTCCACAGAAGCAGCTTCCTTCCCAGTACAAGCTGTAGAAAACTTGTGACGTGGTTAAGGACATCCTAGACACAAAGAGTGCTCTGCGGAGTTCTTTCATTTCTGTTTTCAGACATCACTTGGCATTCAGGAGTTTGCAATTTGCAAACTGAATGCAGTCATTATTTGTGTATATGAAGAGAATAATATAAAAGACCTTGGGATTTTCTAAGTAGTCCGTGCAAAAACGCAGCAATTACTCAAGTGATAATTTTCTCTAGAAAGCAGCAGCCCCGCTAAGCGGGTCATTAGCTGGAGTCCAGCCAACCAAGAAATGGAGGCGGGAGGGACAAAATGAATGAATATTAGAAAAAAAAAAAAAAAAAGAGAGAGACTGCAGAACTTTTCAGCGACCATGGCATCAGGAACCATTATGGTAATGTTTACCTGCAAATACCTTTTAATGAGACTTTCACATTGTTGCTTGCTTTACAGCAGAACTCCAGGCAAGCATTAGAAACAAAAAACTTTATTCAGCTATGTATTCATTAGAACTTTATTAAATCTATTCTTAACTCCCACCAGTGTAATTCACTGAATCTGCCTTGATGGCCTTCTGTAATGCCTTCTACAACAGAACTCAGACTGGAAAAAGGGGACAGTGCCAGCAGCAAATCAGGTTTTGTTAGAAAATGAACAAAAGCAGCTAAAACTCCAAGATTTTTCTCTTGAAATTATATGATTGATTAATAGCTGCACAAATACTGTGCGACATAAACAAAATGCAGCTACCACCATTCTATTCTCCATGGTCTCCAATTTAAAAAATATATCATCATCACCCTCATCTTCAAATCATCATCACCCTCATCTTCAAACATCATCCTCATCTTCAGTCATCATCATCACCCTCATCTTCAATCATCAACATCATCACCCTAATCTTCAATCATCATCATCAATCATCATCCTCTTTTCAATCATCATAATCCTCAATCATCCACCATCCTCATCCTATTCAATTATCCATCACCCTCATCTTCAATCATCCATCATCATCATCCTCTTCAATCATCCATCCTCCTCACCCTCTTCAATCATCCATCCTCCTCACCCTCTTCAATCACCTCACAAATCCTCACCCTCTTCAATCAGCACACTCATCCATCTCATCAATCATCCTCCTCTTCAATCATTATCCTCATCCTCTTCAATCATCATCATTTTCTTCAATCATCCTCTTCAATCCCCACAATCATCCATCCTCCTCACCCTCTTCATCATCCATCCTCCTCACCATCTTCACTCATCCATCCTCCTCACCATCTTCAATCATCCATCCTCCTCACCCTCTTCAATCATCTCACAAATCCTCACCCTCTTCAATCAGCACACTCATCCTCATCAATCATCCTCCTCATCCTGTTCAATCATCCTCCTGTTCAATCATCCTCCTGTTCAATCATCCTCCTGTTCAATCATCCTCATCCTCTTCAATCATCATCATCCTCTTCAATCATCATCATCAATCATCATCATCTGCAATCATCATTTTCTTCAATCATCATCATCAATCATCATTTTCTTCAATCATTATCTTCATCACCATCATCTTCAATCATCATAATCTTCTTTATCATCAATCATCATCATCTTCATCATCCATCATCGTCTTCTTCAATCATCATCATCTTCAATCATCATCATCATCTTCAGTCATCTTCCAATCATCAATCATCTTCAATCATCATCAATCAACATCATCATTTTTCTTCAATCATCATCATCTTCTTCATCATCATCATCATCATCATCATCTTCAATTATCATCTTCATCATCAATTATCATCATCTTCAATATCTTCAATCATCATCTTCAATCATCATCACCTTCAATCATCATCATCTTCAATCATCATCATTTACTTCAATCATCATCAGCATTATCAATCATCACCATCATTAATCAATCACCTTCTTCAATCATCATCATCTTCAAATCATCATTCTCTTCAATCATCATCCTCCTCTTCAATCATCCTCCTCATCCTCCTTTTCAATCATCCTCATCATCCTCCTTTTCAATCATCCTCATCCTCCTCCTCTTCAATCATCCTCATCATCATCCTCTTCAAACATCAAAAATTATAATAAAAGTACATACAATTAAAAAAAAATAAAAACAAACAATCTAATAAAACATACATTAAATTAAGTTACAATAGCAGTAGTGATACTAATACTACTCTACTAATAATTATTTAATAATAATTTTAACTTCATTTCATTTAGTTTTTTTATTATCATTAATATTTTTAAATCATCATATTAAAAATAAAATAAATAATGTTAAAAATATTCTGATCTAACAACCCTCTTTTCCCGCCGGGTTTGGATCACCCAGGGGCGTTTTCTTGGTGGGTGACTAATGGTTTTTCGCAGGTGCGACACTTTTTGATTTTTCGGTCCTTTCCCACCTGGGACTCTCTTCGGGAATCCCGGAATATCCCCCCGGCGGAATTTTTTCGATATCTTCAATTGCGACACTGGCTGCTCTCGCTGCGGGGTACTTCTGTGTTCCCGTACCAGAAATCTGCCTTTGAACAGCTCTGCCAACTGCGTCCGGGCGCTCCGGGCCTTATATCCCTTCTTTATGCAGCTCTGAACAGACGCTCGTCGCATACTTCTCTTTCATATGTTGTTCAGTGGGAGCGCGACCTGGGAGCGGCTGTGGATCCGGAGGACTGGAATAAGGCCTGGTCACTCATAGCTAAATGCTCATTTAATACGACCACACTGGAGGCAGCCTATAAGGTATTGTTTCGTTGGTACTGGGTTCCGGCTCGGCTGGCCCGGGCTAACCCTGCCTGTAGTGATCAATGTTTTCGGGGTTGTGGTCATCGTGGTGATGTATTACATATCTGGTGGTCATGCCCGCGACTGTTTCGTTTTTGGTCTCGTGTATTTGGCCTCCTTTTCACCTTGTTCCATCTCTCCATACGCCGGGATGCTCGGTATGCCTTGCTTCATTGCCCCATACCGGGCCTCTTAGCTCACCAGCAGAAGTTGGCTTCCTATCTGTTTTTATCCGCCACTAGAACAATTGCTCAGGCCTGGAAGAGTCCGTTTGTCCCTCTTCAGGGGGTGCGGGATCGTATGACCACTATGATGCTCAACGAACAGATGTCGAGTATCCGCAACGACTCCCAACGTAAATTTTTGAAAATATGGGAGCCGTGGTTGCAATATGCCCTTCCCTCACTCCCCCCGGCTAGTCTGGGGATGTAATGGCGTTCGGTATTGGCGCTCTTGAATCCCTGCTCTTTGCCCCTCCCCCCCACCCCCTTTTTTCTTTTTTTCTTTCTCTCTTTTCTTTTTTCTCTCTCTCTCTGTTTTTGGTGTGACTGGACAGCTGCATTTAGTTGTTATAATCAGTTACATTACTGTTTTGTACCTTATGTGCCATTGATAGCCCCTGCGTGGGCCTACCTTTTGCCCTGTTGGCATTAGAGCATTGTTTTTCCTTTTTTTTTTATTTTGCATTTTGTTTATCTGTGCAATTGATAGCCCCTGCGTGGGCGTGTTTTATTGCCTCTGTTTATACTGTTTAAAAAATTTAATAAAGACCATTGAAATAGAAAATATTCTGATCTAATAAATACAATAAAATTAAATGGAAGTTTATAATAATATAATAAAATAAAAAATGTATATATTACTTTATTTGCCAATAACGTTCTCATTACTTAAAATGAACAGGTCCATAGTGGAAATATAAAATTGCTTTGCTCCAAAAGGGGGGCGGTAAGTTAATATGGTTACAAACCAAGACAATATGAGGACGGACATATTTTTTATTTTACAGAAGATTACGATCACGCTTTTTTTTTTTTTTAGCTCGCGGATAAACATTGTGGAAACTGAATGCAATTTTTGCAAAGTGGCAAACCTGTTCTCTTAGTTTTATATCTAGAAAAGTAAAATTACAAAATAACTAGGAAATGTTAACGCATTCAGCAATGAGAGAGATGGTTATCCCGCTAGGCAATCAGCAACAATAACCTTTCTGGAAAGCACAGTGAGAAGAAAAAACCTCCTTAATGGAAAACAATCCATGAGGTGAGAATCAACCCAGGATGCCTCTACTCCGAGCATTGCACAATGTCCCTGCATTTAAATATGTCTCAAATTGCAGAAAGGGAACACAGACATTAAAGAGAAAGTCTAGTTATTTTATAATAATATATAACATCCTTAAGACATGTTTAACCACTTCCAGTCCGGACACTTTCACCCCCTTCCTGTCCAGGCCAATTTTCAGCTTTCAGTGCTATCACACTTTGAATGACAATTGCGCGGTCATGCAACACTGTACCCATGTGAATTTTTTAGCATTTTTTTGAGACAGATAAAACTTTATTCACCACTGGGATTTTTTTTTTGCTATATCAATGAAAGTCCAAAATTTTAGAAAAAAGGTTTTTCTTATAAAATTTTGCAAATAAATAATCTTTCTTCATAAATCTTGGCCAACATTTATTCAGTTATCTTTTTAGTAAAAAAAAAACCAAATTAGTTTATAACCAAAAATTATAATTTTTCACATTTGTTTTGTACATTTTTGTTTTATTTTTTATATTGTTTTTTTTTTTTTACATACTGTCACCCTACCAGTACAGTGTCACCATAGGACACTGTGCTACTTGTGGGGGGTGATAAAGATTTTTTTTTTTTTTTTTTTTACACTGATTGCTTTTATACCCATAAAGGTTGTAAAAGCAATCATTTCTCCTTCTCTCTGACTGCATTCTTGCAGCCATTGAGAAATACTGTGAGAGCTGTGATTGGTCACAGCTTGTCACAAGGTACAAGGCTGTTGTGAAAAAATAAATAAAAACAAACAAACAATCTAGCTTGTCACAAGGTACAAGGCTGTTGTGAATAGCCTGACCTCTGTGATCATTCACAGATTTCACTAGTAGTAAGTAATGATGTCAGGAAGTGAAATCTTGTTTACTAATCTTCATGTGATCATTGACTGGCCAATCGTGATCACAGAGGTCCCATACAGCGATTGGTGTTCCGCTCTGTCTGCACAGGCTGTAAATGCAGGCGCCGTTTATGAACGGCAACCCGCTCCTGCACTGCTCCCATCCGGCCGTTTATGTACATGGGTGTAAAAAAAAAAAAAAAAAAAAAAAAAAAAAAAAAAAGAAGGACAGCTTTAACTGCAATAGCCATCTTCAATCCAGATCTGTCCCCTGCAGTATTAGCTTTTCACCACTAGATGTCCACAGTCTTCCAGGCTGAATGACACCCAGAGTTAATTGAACTCTCATCATGGACCCGCCCCCGAGGAGGTGCATCATCACTCTGGCCTGGTCTCACTGTGCTGGAGCATCAAAGGACACATTACATCAATGCCGTTCTGTGCAGCCGTAATGACCGTCCACTGCTGAAAGAGTGATCTAGTGAACTGGGAACATAGTGTCTAATGCAAAGGAGGAAACCCCAAAAACACCTACTGAGGCTCTTTGTCGTCAATCGTAAACAAACCTTAAACGCATGAAAATGATCAGAGCCAATCAGAAGCAAACCTTGGAAAGCTAAATAAGATTGGACATAAAACAGAGTGAGGAACAGCACAAGCTTTGGGAATGTAGATCAATCCACGCCACATGAGGAGCTCACTGGAATCATGCTGCAGGGGATAACATGGAGATTAGATGACGTTTGCTGGAGAGCATGCGCCCCAGCCGGTATTCAGCAATGCGCTCACACAACCCGGCTGGCTTAATGGTTGAATGAGGTTAAAGCAACGCTAACTATAAATAGTGTCAACCACCTGACTGTGCTGCAAAGCTGTGTATCAGGACTGGATGAACAAACATGCAAACCCTTAGCCTTGCAAAACAGCTCCCATATATATGTCCTTTGGGTACTTAGAGGTTTACCTGGAGTTCCCCTTTTTCTTTAAAACAAAGGTTCAGCACAGGCTACTTTACTATACAATGGGGTGGGGGGGGAGGGGAGGGGATGGGGGCTTAGATAAACAAAGCAGGGACTGCTTGCACTCAACTCTGTCTCCCCTGAATTCATATCAGTGCACCCTAAGAGCCTTCCTACACTAGCCTTCACTATGGACACCAAACTTGAAAGCCTCCGTACACTATGGCCCAATCCTGAGAGACTCTGTACTCTGGTGTTCACCATGGCCCAACCCTGAGAGCTTTCCTACACTAGCCTTCACTATGAACACCAAACTTGAAAGCCTCCGTACGCTATGGCCCAATCCTGAGAGCCTCTGTACTCTGGTATTCACCATGGCCCAAACCCGAGAGCCTTCCTACACCAGCCTTCACTATGGACCAAAAACTTGAAAGCCTCCATACACTATGGCCCAACCCTGAGAGCCTCTGTACTCTGGCATTCACCATGGCCCAAACCAGAGAGCCTTCCTACACCAGCCTTCACTATGGACCAAACTTGGAAGCCTTTGTACACTATGGCCCAACCCTGAGAGACTCTGTACTCTGGCATTTACCATGGCCCAACCCTGAGAGTCTTCCTACACTAGCCTTCACTATGGACCAAACTTGGAAGCCTTTGTACACTATGGCCCAACCCTGAGAGACTCTGTACTCTGGCATTTACCATGGCCCAACCCTGAGAGTCTTCCTACACTAGCCTTCACTATGGACCAAACTTGAAAATCTCCGTACACTATGACCCAACCCTGAGAGCCTCCTTACACTAACGTTCACTGTGGCCCAACCCTTACAGCCACTATACACTAGCAATCACAATAGAATACAGTCACTGAAAGCCTACCTACACTAGCGTTCACTATAGACCAACCCTGAGAGCCTCCCTACCCTAACCAACACAGAGCATTTGTACACATTGGCTCAACCCTAAGAGGCTCTGTACACTATAGCCCAACCCTGCGAGGCTCTGTACAAGATTGGACAATCTTAAGAGCCTCCCTTCACTATCGCCCAACCCCGAGAGCCTTCCTAGCCTATGAAATAACACTGTGGCCAAACCCTGAGAGACTCCCCACACTAGCGTTCACCCAACCCTGAAAGCCTCTCTACATTCTAGCCCAACCCTGAAAGCCTCCTTACACTCCAGCCCAACCACGAGAGGCTCCCTACCCTATGGACCAACCCTCAGAAGCCTCTGCATACTACGGCCCAATCCTGAGAGCCTCTGTATACTAGCCTTCACTGTGACCCAATCCTGACAGCCTCTTTACACTAGCAGTCACTATAGACCAGGAGTGTCAAACGGACGGCCCTCCAGCTGTTGCAGAACTACAAGGTTCATCATGCCTCTGCCTGTGGGTGTCATACCTGTAACTCTCAGCCTTGCAATGCCTCATGGGACTTGTAGTTCTGCAACAGATACCTTGGAGGGCTGCCAATTTGATACCTGTGCTACAGACCAACCTGAAAGCCAACCTACACTAGCATTCATTATAGACCAACCCTGAGAGCCTCCCTACCCTATGAACCAACACTGAGAGACTTTGTACACTATGGCTCAACCATGAGAGGCTCTGTACACGAAGGCCCAACCCTGAGAGGCTCTGTACACTATGGCCCAACCCTGAGATGTTCTGTACAGTATGGCCCAACCCTTAGAGGCTCTGTACACTAAGGCCCAACCCTGAGATGTTCTGTAGACTATGGCCCAACCCCTAGAGGCTCTGTACACTATGGCCCAACCCTGAGATGTTCTGTACACTATGGCCCAACCCTTAAAGGCTCTGTACACTATGGTCCAACCCTTAGAGGCTCTGTACACTAAGGCCCAACCCTTAGAGGCTCTGTACACTAAGGCCCAACCCTGAGATGTTCTGTACAGTATGGCCCAACCCCTAGAGGCTCTGTACACTAAGGCCCAACCCTGAGATGTTCTGTAGACTATGGCCCAACCCTTAGAGGCTCTGTACACTAAGGCCCAACCCTGAGATGTTCTGTAGACTATGGCCCAACCCCTAGAGGCTCTGTACACTATGGCCCAACCCTGAGATGTTCTGTACACTATGGTCCAACCCTTAGAGGCTCTGTACACTAAGGCCCAACCCTGAGATGTTCTGTACAGTATGGCCCAACCCCTAGAGGCTCTGTACACTAAGGCCCAACCCTGAGATGTTCTGTAGACTATGGCCCAACCCTTAGAGGCTCTGTACACTAAGGCCCAACCCTGAGATGTTCTGTAGACTATGGCCCAACCCCTAGAGGCTCTGTACACTATGGTCCAAGCCTTAGAGGCTCTGTATACTAAGGCCCAACCCTGACATGTTCTGTACAGTATGGCCTAACCCTTAGAGGCTCTGTACACTAAGGCCCAACCCTGAGATGTTCTGTACAGTATGGCCCAACCCTTAGAGGCTCTGTACACTAAGACCCAACCCTAAGATGTTCTGTACACTATGGCCCAACCCTGAGATGTTCTGTACAGTATGGCCCAACCCTGAGAGGCTCTGTACACTAAGGCCCAACCCTGAGATGTAGTAGAGCAGGAGAGGAGTAGAGCAGGAGAGAAGAGAGACAAGGAGAAAACAAAATGGAGAAAAAAAAGACTAAAATTAAATACAAAATATATAGGAACTCTGGCAAAGTTTTTTCCTGCTGCATTCAGTCCGTCTTACCGCACAGCCTCAGAAACATTGTTGGAAGTGTGCCCAGACAAGGCGTCGTGGAGATTGCGGATGAAGTAGTCTCTGTAGTCCTCAGGCAGAGCCATGAAGGTCCCCCCCATCACAATGAACTCCACCTTGTCCACGCTGTGCCCCAGTTGCTTGAGCTGTGAGGAGACAAAGCACAAAATGGTCATTGTAAATCTTCAAATGTCCAGACAGACCTGAGAGCATTTTTATTAATGAGATGGACAGTAATAGGCCCAATACAGCCCATATTATAACTTTATTAGTACAATTAGTCTGGTCATATCACCAATTCTGTGTTTTTTTCCTCCTATTTCATCAATCCAGTAATCTTCTTATTATTATGTTAAGGACGTCCAGGCACATTTAAAAATGAAAGTATAAAAGATATGTATTCTTCTCTACATCACTTTGAAGGTTAGATTTTTTTTTTTCACCTTTTATGTTATATTTCAACCCTGATGAAAGGAGGCTAGCCCCAGAAACAGGTTACTTGTGTTTAGAACTTTTCAGAATTCCATGTGGCCACCCTGCTCTTACAGATATTGGGACTGTACGCTCGGGATTGCAGTCAGTGTATAAGTATAATTACTAAAAAAAATTATTAGCAGGCGTGGAACATGATTTTCTGGCAGAAAAAAAAAAAAAAAAAACGAAAATGGAACGTTCTTCAGCTATATTCTGAATAAATATTTGCGAGTGCAGAAAATACCAATTTATAGCCACTAGATGGAGCTGAGGAGCATCCTTTTCTTAGGATAGTCAGCGCCATCTAGTGACCATAATGTGGCATTTCTCGCAGTAACAAATTCGAATGGCTGAGAATTGATCCGGAGGACATTGATTTTGCCCCATTATTTTCTTATGCTACTCAGCTCCATCGAATGACCATAATGTGGTATTTCTCACATTCACACACTCAAACTGCTGAGAATATAGCTAGGGAACATTCGACTTTGCTCCCCTGTTTATTTCCTATGGTCCTCAGCTCTTTCTATTGACTATAATGTGGTATTACTCACATCGACACGACTGAGAATATAGCCATTTAATGTTCGACTGTGCCCCATTATTTTCTGATTTCTTAAGCTCCTCAGTTCCATCTAGTGACCATAATGTGGTATTTTTCCCATTCACTCATTCGATCTTGGGAGAATATGACTTCATTATTTACTTCATGTGCTCCTCTATCTAGAAGCCATAATGCAATATTTCTCACATTCAAACTGTTGAGAACATAGCCGGAGAATATTCAATTTTGCCCCACTATTAACTCATTTCTGATGCTCCTCAGCTCCATCGAGCGGTCATAATGCAGTATTTCCACATTCAAGCACTTGAGATACACAGACTATACCCAGAGAACATTCGATTCTGCTCCATTTACTTATTTCCTATACGCCTCAGCTCCATCTAGTGGCCATAATGCAGTATTTCCACATTCACACACAAGCTACACAGACTATAGCCGGAGAACATTCGATTCTGCTCCATTATTTACTTATTTCCTCTCAGCTCCATCTAGTGGCCATAATGCAGTATTTCCACATTTACTTGAGCTACACTATACGAACATTCGATTCTGCTCCATTATCTACATTTCCTATACGCCTCAGCTCCATCTAGTGGCCATAATGCAGTATTTTCCATATTCACACATTTGAACAGATGGGAATATAACTGGCGAACATTCGATTTTTCCCAATGCACATAGAACAAAACATGCAGTTTCGATGGAGGAACAGTTAAGCAAACTTTTTATAAAGCACACCCCTAGGTTTTTAGTGTTGCGCAGTTGTTACCCTATTTTTTGCGGACGCACTGGTTACAATTTTCCGGTCTGTAAGTACCAGTAAATACAGGAAGAAACTGGTACCTCCAAGTATCTGTAGGTTCACGTGTATCCACATGGACAGATAATGCTTACCTCTTATGGCTGAAATCCCACAATAGCATATCACGGCACACAGGCCACGTCCAGAACATTTCTTACATTGTCTTCGCAGATGATAGCCATATTGCTGGCAGATGAGGAGGTGGCAGAAGTTATTTTCACCTAATCTGACAATATGACCATCATCTGTGAAGACACTTTGAGAAATGATCTACATGGTTTAAGTACCATTTCTCTCCAACCTGGGTACCGTGGTACACCAACGTGTGATTCCGGCCATATAAAGAGGTGAGCATCACCTGTCAATGCGGATACACGTGTGGACCTACAGATTCTCCTAGAGGTGCCCCTGTTACTGCTCATATTTTATTGCCATTTAAAGAACTCCTGGCAAGTTTGTTGAATAAATCTCTGTTTATCCAATGGCTGCTTTCCATACCAATGGCAATTTTTGGGCATTACTCCTCAGGGGAGGGGGCAGAGCACAGCTGTGCTATTCAGGGGCCGAACCATAGAGATCCCTCTGTGGTTACATTTGGTCGTAGTTACAGGTTGTGGCTCAGAAGATCAGATGGTGCACCTGGGGGGCCCATGAGATATGAAGGCTCAGGTCACCAGATGCATGCTTCATTTGATGAGTCTTCTACTCAACACCAGGAGGGTGGACCTCTTCCTACTAGCCACCACCGCTCCAGGGTTACACCATGATTTTTTTTCAGTTGCTACACCCTTTAAAAGTATGCAAAATCTTCCTGGCTGAAGGACATCCAGCATCATCTAGGGCTTTCCTCCCCAGCCTGAGTGCCCCTGGCACTTCCCATTTCATTCACTCATTGGAAGTGGCCAACAATCCTCCAATCACCATTAAAATAAGGTTAGATAACGTTATCACCTTAAAATACAAGCCCGATCAAGCGCTCCTCAGCGATGTCCAGTTCTCCACTCTGGGGATATGAGTTGGAGGATGTGTAGTACTATTGGCGATCTGTGCCTACCAAATAGCGGCCTCCATATTGCTAGCCAAAACTAGCAAAGTGTCGTGCTGTCAACCAATAGCTCTATTAGGAGATCCATAAGTGGTTGGTAAGCGGGGGGTTTCACCATCCGAAGTTCTACCGTCGCTAGGAACATCGCCGCCAATGGGGGCATGGCCCAGATCTCATTGACGCTGCCCACATTGACGCGGTTCTTTGGTAGGCACAAATCGCCAAGAGTACTACACAGGTTGTGGGCTCTATCAGCTTGTCCTATCTACCAGTACTCTATTTTGTCAGCTCACCACCCTACATGTACAGGGGTATAGAACCCTCATTGATGCCCTGTTGCTGGACATGGACTTGCATATGCCTACACTGCATTTGTGCAAATCTTCATTATTACACAAGACCATAAGGTCATTGGCTCCACCACACTACAAGGGTTGCATCTTACCTATACCCTACTGAAGAAGATCTTCAATCACTATACTGTTGTTTCAATGACTCGCAGCGTTCTATACCTAGGGTGTTGGCTGCATCTGGATTTATTGGAGTTACCTTCATCCAGCTCACAAATTACTATTAAGCCCAGGTTGTGGGCTCTATCAGCCTGTCCTGTCTACCAGTACTCTATGTTGTCAGCTCACCACCCTACATGTACAGGGGTATATAACCCTCATTGATGGCCTGGTGCTGGACATGGACTTCCATATGCCTACACTGTCTTAACCTGGCCCTATTGTGGCTACATATTATTTTACATTGATTTTGACTTATAGGTCACATATTTATGATGCTTTATATCCCATCGGGCCACCTTTCTCAGACCTCGTTCACTATCTCACTCTCTGAGTGTCAGCTGATTGGGTAGCAGGCAAAAGACAGCATACTGCCTACCAGCACCCACTGACTGCCAGTCTGGAGATCATTGGCCTGAAATGCTATGCTCTTAATGAGACCTAGTTATCTTGTAGCGTTTGTGAGTGGATGTGCGGTGCCGGGCTTGTATTTTAAGGTGATAACGTTATCTAACCTTATTTTAATGGTGATTGGAGGATTGTTGGCCACTTGGCCTAACTTTACATCATTCCGATCTCAACAAAGTTGTTTAGTTTGGCTACACCGCGGTTGGTTCTCTTTTAAGCTGCTTTCTAGGGGGCCTCACTTGGTCCCCACAAGATTTTCTTTGCTATGACCCTGGCTTCAGAGGATCCCACCACCTAAATTTATGGTGAGTCAGTGACCTATCCTAGAACCTCGAGATCTCCCCTTTTGGGTGAGTTATATCCTTGTGTTACTGATTTTTATTTAATTACAACACTTACAAGCAACATGTGAATGGACAGTGAAAGGAGAAGCAGAAGACTAATGAGCTCATCTATCTAACACTCTCCTCCCATTAGCATGGCCACTGCACACTTTATTAGCTTCTTTTCACAGCTTCTCCTACTCCTAGTCTGAGCTCTGCTGCACAGGTGACTGCAAAAGGCTGATTAGCAAGTCAAATGTGGTTACTCACAATGCTTGCCTAACGTGGTCAGTACATTAGGTGGACATGCTAAGAGTGTAGATGAAGGCTGGGGACATGCTACAGGAGACGGTTAGAGACTGGGGATGTGTTACAACAAACTGCTAGAGATCACTGCCATTACATCTCCTTTACAAATAAATGCTCTCTGCTACTGGCCGCTGGTGCCAAAGGGTCACAACAAGTACCAAAGTGCAACAGGTTGGGCACCAGGGGGTCTATAGTGTCCATGGAGGATCTATTACCAGATCAATGAATGATGGGGGAGGGGCTTATCCCTAAAGGTAAAAAGATTAAAAAAAGCAACATACAGTACCTGTTCCACTCGATGCCGTGTCTGCAGGAAGGGGTCATAGCGAGCGCGGATAGCTCGCATTGATGTCGGCTGTATCGAATAAAAAAAAAAAAGTTTTGTTGATTAGATCAGCTACAATATCAGAGTCTCAAGAATTGGGTTTTCATGTCGTGACTCACTTGAACGAAGACTCCTGCCAGGATTTACATTTTCCTGCACGCTGCTGGGCAGTATTCTCAGGCAGAAGCCTGCCACACTCTCCTCCTACAGTCAAATCCCAGATGGTTACAACACTTCCAGGTAGTATTGGAGCTGTTAAGCCCCACCCCTCACCCATAGGGCCATTGGCATCACTAGCCAAAAGGAATACGTGGTGCTGGGACAAGATCCTTCAGCACTAAAGGCGGAAAAGGCCAAAGCATGACACCTACCAGTGGGCTACTTCAGTAGGATAGGTTGCAGGTCCTGAACTTTTTGCACCCCCTTCTTGCTGAAGCACCCCAGACAGCCGCCTCTTCTACCTTGCCCTATGGCCCAGCCGAGGGAATATGCAGGAAGGCACAGACAAGCTTCAGCCCTACCAAAGGTTTACTTTGCAGTGACTGGGTGGAGGAGGGATGGTGTCGGGGGTGTTAGGATTCTCGAAACCGTTTTGCTGCCAGAGCTTTTACTTCTTTTTTTTTTAATGCATATTTTGGGCCTGAAGATTAGTTTATAACCCCAAAATATACATTTTCTGCAGTCCCTATAGTATAGAACGTGCACCCCAATCAGAACATATTCCCCTGTATTTTGGTAAAATCTAAAAAGATGAGGTTGCATCGAGTAAATAGATAACCAACATGTCGAACGTTAAAACTTCATGCTCCAGTGAAGTGACTAAAAAAATGATAGTACCCAAAACGGTCTATAGGGGACCCTCTAAAATCCTTCACAGCTCATAAATTTAGAGTTAGGGCTCATGTACACTGCAGCTGATAAACTGACGTTCAGGAGCTGTTCAGCATTTCTTTCAGAAGCCCCTGAACTCTCCCTAATGTTTTCCTATGTGTCCATGTACACTTAATTGTTTACAGGCAGTTGAGTTTACAGTTGTTTTTTTTGAACGCAGCAAAATTGCATTCAGGAGTAGATTTTTGTCAGAGTTTCAAAACGCCAAACACTTGTAAACGTGTGTAAACGCTTGCAAACACAGTTAAGAAGCGTTTTTTGTCTGGTCCATATCCAGGGCACGGTTCACTAAGCGGTATCCTACTGCATCCAAGTATGTTGTAGGATACCGCATAGCATTTAAAAAAAAACAAAAAAAACCATTGAATCCACTAAAAAGGCTAAAAAAATACCGCAGGAGTTATTTTATCAAGTCATGCGGAATTTTAGTAGTGAAAAGCATGCATCATGTTTCAGCTGTCAGCGGGGTTCCCACTGACAGCTGAATGTAAGAATTGCCGGCAATTCAAAAATAATTTTTAAAAAACAGCGTGGGGTCCCCCCTCCCATCCATACCAAGCCCTTTGGGTCTGGTATGGATTTTGAGGGGAAGCCCCATGCCAAAATTTAAAAAAAAAATTAAAAAACGGTGTAGGTTTCGCCCCCAAAATCCATACCAGACCCTTATCTGAGCATGCAGCCCCGGCAGGACAGGAAGGAAAGGGGGGGGGGCAGGCCAGTGCCCCCCCCTTCCTGAACCATACCAGGCCACATGCCCTCAACATGGGGGGGTGCTTTGGAATAGGTGGGAGCTCCCCCCCCTCAAAGCACCTTGTCCCCATATTGATGGGGACAAGGGCCTCTTCCCCACAGCCCTGGGCTGTGGGGGTCTGCTGGTAGGGGGTTTGCCGGAATCTGGAAGAATCCCCAGATCCTGCCCCCCCCCCCACCCACCCACACATGAATGAGTATGGGGTACATGGTACTGCTACCCGTTCACAAAAAAAAAAAAAAAAAAAAAAGCTGTAGTGTGAAAAAAGACATTCTTTGACAAGTCCTTTAATAAAAGAATGTCCCCCGAAGTAGATCCAATGTCAATCATGATGCCCGCTGCCGCTCCGAGTGAAAGAAAAAAAAAAAAAAAAAAAGGCTCCACTTCCAACGCTGGCCTCCGACCATCTGATCCTGGGCTGGTTTGACAGTTCTTAATAATGTAAGGGGCGGGGCCATCACGTATCGAACCTCAGTGACCAGCATGACCCAGTCGATGATGTCACACGGGCAGGGTCACATGGGTGATGTCACTGGGTGGCCCTGCCCCTTACATATTTAAGAACTGTCAAACCAGCCTAGAGACAGACAGCCGGAGGCCAGCATCGGGAGCACAGCCCTTTTTTTTTGTATTTTTTGGAGCTGCGGTAGCGGGCATTGTGATTGACATTGGATCTACTTCGGGGGACATTCTTTTATTAAAGGATTTGACAAAGAATGACTCCTGTCCTTTTTTCACACTACAGCTTTTTCTTTGTGAATGGGTAGTGGTACCATGTACCCCATACTCATTCACGTGGGGGGGGCCGGGATCAAAGCACCCCACCCCATGTTGAGGGTATGTGGATAGGTATGGTTCCGGAGAGGAGGGATGGGCGCTCGCATGCCCCCCCCCCTTCCCTGACCTGCCGGGCTGCATGCTCGGATAAGGGTCTGGTATGGATTTTGGGGGGGAACCCCACATCATTTTTTTAAAATTTTGGCATGGGGCCTCCCCTCGAAATCCATACCAGACCCGAAGGGCTTGGTATGGATGGGAGGGGGGGACCCCACGCCTTTTTGGTATTATTTTTTAGTTTCTGGCAATTCTTTCTTTTACATTCAGCTGTCAGTGGGAATCCTGCTGACAGCTGAAACAATAATGCATGCTTTTCACTACTAAAATACTGCAAGACTTGATAAAATAACTCATGCGGTATTTTAGTAGCCTTTTTTAGTGAATTTACTATTTTTCAGTGCATTCTGGGCATTTGGGAGGGTCTCCTGAGGTTATCTTTTAAAAACGCTTTTAAAAGCAAAACATGTATAAACGCGGCTAAACTGAATTTTTTAACCAACGCTTTCCAGCAGTCAATTTCCATCATTCAGAAGAGTGTTACAAACGCTCCGTGTACATGAGCCTTTAAAAGTGAATGACAACCCTAGAATTTTTGCTCACTCCTGTGTGCACGGCAACACCCAATATGCGTAGCCAATCGTCATTTTCATATGTAGGCGCAGCAGACACATTAAAACTTTTGTATGTGCATGCTAGTGGGGACGGTGGGCTTTAAAAGTATTTGTAGGTTTCTTTTAATCTTTTACTTTAATGTTTTTTTTTTGCAATCCGATTGCCCAGCCCCCTTTATTGATAGCACAATTGAAGCAACAGGTTCTCTGGTATTGCTTCCCATGTATCGCGTTTGTGCAGCAGCAAAGAGGGCGGCCTTTAAAGCTCGCATGCCGCATATAAAAGCTGAGGCACTCCCAGCATGGTGAGCAAACGGTTATAGACAGCTACTGCTCTCTAATGATCAGGAGCTGACGGGACCGGCTGCTGATCATGTGACCACAATAACAGCCAGTCACAGTGGTTACATGATCAGAGAGGCCTTCCCACCCCCTGGATGTACAGACTCAGTTACAGGGATGCCGTGGCTGGGTGGCAAAGGGTTAATGAGATATCAGGGGTCTAGATCACTATTAGTCCCCCCCTGCACTCCACTGAAGTTGATCAAGTATAGATTGTGCTTAATCAGCCTATGCACCTGGCCTGCATGAATGTGTGAGGATATGATTTGATGTAAACCCAACAGTCAGTCCTGTGCTGCCCGCCAACCTGGTGGCAGCGAAAGGGTTAAAGGTACTCTCTTATTGAGAGATGCAAAGGCACAGCGATAAGGCTGCAGATAAGAATAACAAATCAATTCAGTTTCATAGGGTAGAATTACAGGTTCACATCCTCACCTCATATCCCGTATAAGATTGGGTCGAATATTCAAAATCAGAATCCGGACCGCCTGGACAGTACCTAGGGAACACAATGAATACATACATCTTAGATCGTATAGGGGAAAAAAAAAAAAAAGAGTTGCCACAGCTCTGAGCAAGAGTATTGGGTCCCCGAAATGCATCTGCTGCTTTTTGTCACCCTGTCTCCAGGTGGAGAGCAAATTCTTACATTGTGTGCTTTATGCATTTACATGCCTTTAGTGCAGTAGACTTGTCAGTATATTTTATGCTTCATACAATTAGCAATAAAGTGTCAAGGTTAATGCGCTAGGAGCTTGCACGCTCTTTATTTGTTATGTTTTGTACATTCACCCTAGAGCTCTAAAGCAAACCTGGTCAGAGGTTCTAACACACACACTTTATATATATATATATATATACATATATATATACACACACACACACATACATATACACACACACACATACCTCAAAAAAATGAATGAAAGGAACACTTTGAAAAACACATCAGATCTCAATGGGGAAAAATCTCATGCTGGATATCTACACTGACATGGACGGGGTAATGTGTTAGGAATGTAAGGATGCCCCATCGTTTGATGGAGATAAAAATGATCGACCTACAGAGGACTGAATTCAAAGAAACCCCGAAAATCAAAGTGAAAAAAATGATGCAGCAGGCGAGTCCATTTTGCTGAAATGTCATTGCAGCAACTCAGAATGGTCCTCAGTGGTTTGTATGGCCCCCACGTGCTTGTATGCATGCCTGACAACGTCGGGGGAGGCTCCTAATGAGACGACGGATGGTGTCCTGAGGGATTTCCTCCCAGATCTGGACCAGGGCATCACTGAGCTCCTGGACAGTCTGAGGTGCAATCTGGCGGCGTCGGATGGACCAAAACATGACATCCCAGAGGTGTTCTATTGGACTTAGGTCAGGGGGAGCATGGGGGCCATTCAATGGTATCAATTCCTTTATCCTCCAGAAACTTCCTGCATATTCTCCCCACATGAGGCCATGCATTGTCATGTACCAGGAGGAACCCAGGACCCACAGCACCAGGAGGAACCCAGGACCCACTGCACCAGCGTAGGGTCTGACAATGGGTCCAAGGATTTCATCCCGATACCTAATAGCAGTCAGGGTGCCATTGTCTAGCCTGTAGAGGTCTGTGTGTCTCTCCACGGATATGCCTCCCCAGACCATCACTGACCCACCACCAAAACGGTCATGCTGAACGACGTTACAGGCAGCAGAACGTTCTCCACGGCTTCTCAAGACCCTTTCACGTCTGTCACATGGGCTCAGGGTGAACCTGCTCTCATCTGTGAAAAGCACAGGGTGCCAGTGGTGGAGCTGCCAATTCTGGTGTTCCATGGGAAATGACAATCAAGCTCTATGGTGCCAGGCAGTGAGTACAGGGCCCACTAGAGGACGTCGGGCCCTCAGGTCACCCTCATGAAGTCTGTTTCTGATTGTTTGGTCAGAGACATTCACACCAGTGGCCTGCTGGAGGTCATTTTGTAGGGCTCTGGCAGTGCTCATCCTGTTCCTCCTTGCACAAAGGAGCAGATACCAGTCCTGCTGATGGGTTAAGGACCTTCTACGGCCCTGTCCAGCTCTCCTAGAGTAACTGCCTGTCTCCTGGAATCTCCTCCATGCTCTTGAGACTGTGCTGGGAGACACAGCCAACTTTCTGGCAATGGTACGTATTGATGTGCCATTCTGGAGGGGTTGGACTGCCTGTGCAACCTCTGTAGGGTCCAGGTATGGCCTCATGCTACCAGTAGTGACACTGACCCTAGCCAAATGCAAAACTAGTGAAAAACAGTCAGAAAAGATGAGTAGGGAAAAAAATGTCAGTGGCCTCCACCAGTAAAACAATTCCTGTTTTGGGGGTTGTCTCATTGTTGCCCATCTAGTACACCTGTTGTTCATTTCATTAACACCAAAGCAGCTGAAACTGATTAAAAAACCCCCTCTGCTACTTACCTGACCAGATCGATATCCCAGGAGTTTCATTGACTTGATGCTATACTCTGATTAACTGCTTCCACGCCGCCCTATAGCAGAAATACTGCGACAGTGCAGCACGGGTGCGCAAAATTACGCATGTATACACGTGATTTTGCAGTTCCGGATAGGGGGCGCGCGCACCCTACCCGCGCTGCCATTCACAGCCTCGGATGTCCCAGCTGGTGATTCCCTGCCGACACTGAATATTACCAAGATCTCCGAGTATTACCGACAGGGGAAAGACCTGTATGTAAACAGTGCAGATCTCTCCCCTGCTAGCTCCTGCACACTGCTTTGTATGGTGCTTACAGTGAAACACACACACAGCCCACATAGTAAAACAGCACACAGTTAACCCTTTGATCGCCCCTCATGTTAACCCCTTCCTGCCTAGTGCCATTAGTACAGTGTCAGTGCTTTTTATTAGCACTGATCACTGGATTAGTGTCACTGGAGATGTCAGTGACACCAAGTCAGTTCCCCCAATGTCAGAAGGCCCGTCGCAGTCCCGCTATAATTACTAGAAAAAAATTTAAATAAACAAAAAAATCCAGCATATAAACCGCCATTTGTAAACACTATAACTTTCACGTAAACCAATTAATTTACATGTATTGGAATTTTTTTCAGCAAAGACATGGAGCAGAATACATTTTGGCCTAAATTTATGCCGAAATTTGATCTTTTAAATTTTTTTACTGGACATGTTTAATAGCAAAAAGTCAAAAATATTGTATTTTTTTCAAAATTGTCGGCATTTTTTTGGTTTATAGTGCAAAAAAGTTAAAATGATCAGGTGATCAAATACCACTGAAAGAAAGATCTATTTGTGGGGGGAAAAAAAAAGGACGTAAATTTCCATTTGGGTGCAGCATTGCATGACCGCGCAATTGTCAGTTAAAAGTAACGCAGCGCCGTATCGCAAAATATGGAAGGGGGGTAAATCCTTTGGAGGGCAGTGGTGGTTAAAAAGTGTTCCTTTAATATTTTTGAGCAGTGTATGTGTGTATATATATATATATATATATATATATATATATATATATATATAAATACACACACACACACATACATACACATATATATATATATATATATATATCTATATCTCAATCCCAGCCCACATGATGTAGCAAGTCAGGTAGAGCCCACCTCAATTCCTGGTAGAATGACGTCCAGCATCATCAAGCACTTTCCTCCCCAGCCTGACTGTCCGTGGCCTGCCCGTTTCATTCACTGGATTTCAGTTCTGCCAATCATGGAGGCTCAGTATCACATATGGGTATTACCTTGGAGGCGGTCTGCGTGCAAGGTCTGTCTAATTATGCCCATAAAGACATGCATGTCCTCTAAGACCACGCCCACCTTTCACCAATCAATGCGGCACATTTAGTCTGTTTCACTGCTTCCATGGAGCTCTCCTGATCACGAAAGGGCCAATTGGTGATACAGTGTATCCTATACTTACACACAGATATTCCCGGTGAAGTTTATGTGAGGACAGCGATGGGGTTTGCACATGACAGCGACCACCGCGATCTAGAAAATAACGAAAAACACATTCAGTACATCTCTGCAACACGTACATAGAGAGTTCCTAATCTCCTGCTTGTCTGACAACACAGGGCCATTTCTGCACTAAATTCACAACCAGTGTTGTCAACTCCGCCTGCTGGACTACAGAACTCCACCTATCTCTGCCCCTCCCTACATGCATACCTCACAGACAGCCCACACAAGTTCTGCAAGGAAAGGGTTCTTGGGAGATGTAGTTCTGGGGGTGAGCCTACGTCCATAGCAGGTGCCCCTAGACCAATTTTACAAACCTAGCGATAATGTCATTGGGTGGTTAGATTTGGGTACTGCCTGGACGTACCCTTTGAACTGAACATATCAGGTGCTTGTAGCCTCCCTGGCGGTATTCCTGAGTGTAGCTCGGGGTAAAGTTTCAGTACCACAAGCGGTAACCCCGAGCTACAGTCGGGATTACCCTGCGGCTTTGCTCCAGGATCTCTTCTGCACTTACCTTGCCCTGCGCTCCCGCGATGTCCCTCCTGCAGTGTCCCCTGTAATGTCCTCCGGCCGATGCCGGCATCTGTCTTCTGGGTTCCGTTCCCTGCGAGCGTCGGGATGTACGGGGGACGGAACGGCGGGAATTTTGAAAATGACAAAAAGTGATATTCACTAAAATCACATAGTAAAACATTACTGTATCAAACCATTTCACATACATTTTGTCCCGAGTGCTTTGTCCTGTGCCCTGCCTGCATTTTGTCTGTTCTTTCTGCCTGGAAACTGAGAAACGTCCATGGCGTCCAAAAAGTGTCCCTTTAGGTCAAAAGTGGTTTTAGACCGGCTAGAGAACAGCGATAGTAAATCAGAACCACTTGCAGAATTGAGTGATAATGATTAGTGGGGAAATTCATCATCAGACACTGAAAACGATTTTGCGACTTTGCTCAATGATGTGCAAACTTGGCGCTATATTTCACATTTCAGTGTTTTTGGTTTGATTATATTATTGAATTAAATGTATTATTATTATTATTTTTTATGATTATTTATTAAATTATAATTTATGATTTCGGGTTTCAAATTTTATCATACCCGGGATGTTTATAGACTCTTGTTCGGACAGATTTCAGTCAGTTATTCCTAAAAATTACAGCCTACAAAAAAAAAAAAAAAAAATACATATTTCCATGCAAAAAAAGTACCGCTTTGAGCACAGAAATATGGACATAAGGTTAAAGGGAACTGCAGTCCCTTACTGCTGGCCCCATGCTTCTATATTGGCACTACCATCTTTGATGGTCTGGCATGGGACCTGGCAGAGCCCAGGAGCACACGGGGGCATGCGCAGACCAAACAGAGACACTGTGCCTCTTCCTGTGTGCATGAGGCCTTATGCTCATCAAAAACTAAGTATTACTTTCTGATAGAAATACGTGCTGCTTAAGTCCCCGGTCACTGTGGTGCGAATGGTCATGCGATTTGATTGTTTCAAATCACATGACAAGTCGCACCGTATGGTCCGCAACGAAAGCAGTCAAATTGGAGAGACTTTGACCAGTTCATGCACTACTTTTTGCAAGTTCAGGTGCAACTTGCATAGACGTCTGTGCATAAAGTTGCACAGATGTCTTTCAAGTCGCGCTGACATCCGACTTTGAAATCGGGCGATTTCAAAGGCGGATACAGTGTGACCGAAGTCTAATCGAGAGCCTCCACTTAATGATCCATTGTTACCAAGCTGGGTGCACACAAGGTCTTTCCTGGTAGGACGCTGCCTCCTGGTGGAGAAACTGCACATGGGTAGCTAAATAGCTGTTTTGGGTGATCGCAGCACGTGGCCCCATAGACTTAAATTGATCATGTTCGGCTGTAGCAAATGCAACATGCACTTTTTTTGCTGTGAAGCATAGTGGTCGCGGCATGTGTACAGCCTAGAGAGGGCGCATGCCTGTCCGTATGTGGGCAGTCGGGGGGCTCAACAAAACTGCAAGCCTTTAGTTAAGGGGTCTCCTGAGAAGGAGGAACTTAAGTTCAGCCACAGACATTGCCAAAGAGCCACACATACTGTAACATTCAAAGACTGCAGACACGATACAGGAGACGGTCAGAGACTGCAGACACGATACAGGAGACGGTCAGAGACTGCAGACACGATACAGAAGATGGTCAGAGACTGCAGACACGGTACAGGAGACGGTCAGAGACTGCAGACACGGTACAGGAGACGGTCAGAGACTGCAGACATGGTACAGGAGACGGTCAGAGACTGCAGACACGCAACAGGGAGACGGTCAGAGACTGCAGACACGCAACAGGGAGACGGTCAGAGACTGCAGACACGCAACAGGGAGACGGTCAGAGACTGCAGACACGCAACAGGGAGACGGTCAGAGACTGCAGACACGCAACAGGGAGACGGTCAGAGACTGCAGACACGCAACAGGGAGACGGTCAGAGACTGCAGACACGCAACAGGGAGACGGTCAGAGACTGCAGACACGATACAGGAGACGGTCAGAGACTGCAGACACTATACAGGAGACGGTCAGAGACTGCAGACACGATACAGGAGACGGTCAGAGACTGCAGACACGATACAGGAGACGGTCAGAGACTGCAGACACGATACAGGAGACGGTCAGAGACTGCAGACACGATACAGGAGACGGTCAGAGACTGCAGACACGATACAGGAGACGGTCAGAGACTGCAGACACGATACAGGAGACGGTCAGAGACTGCAGACACGATACAGGAGACGGTCAGAGACTGCAGACACTATACAGGAGACGGTCAGAGACTGCAGACACGATACAGGAGACGGTCAGAGACTGCAGACACTATACAGGAGACGGTCAGAGACTGCAGACACGATACAGGAGACGGTCAGAGACTGCAGACACGATACAGGAGACGGTCAGAGACTGCAGACACGCAACAGGGAGACGGTCAGAGACTGCAGACACGCAACAGGGAGACGGTCAGAGACTGCAGACACGCAACAGGGAGACGGTCAGAGACTGCAGACACGCAACAGGGAGACGGTCAGAGACTGCAGACACGCAACAGGGAGACGGTCAGAGACTGCAGACACGCAACAGGGAGACGGTCAGAGACTGCAGACACGCAACAGGGAGACGGTCAGAGACTGCAGACACGCATACAGGAGACGGTCAGAGACTGCAGACACGTATACAGGAGACGGTCAGAGACTGCAGACACGATACAGGAGACGGTCAGAGACTGCAGACACGATACAGGAGACGGTCAGAGACTGCAGACACGATACAGGAGACGGTCAGAGACTGCAGACACGATACAGGAGACGGTCAGAGACTGCATACACGATACAGAGACGGTCAGAGACTGCAGACACGATACAGGAGACGGTCAGAGACTGCAGACACGCACAGGAGACGGTCAGAGACTGCAGACACGATACAGAGACGGTCAGAGACTGCAGCACAATACAGGAGACGGTCAGAGACTGCAGACACGCAACAGGGAGACGGTCAGAGACTGCAGACACGCCACAGGGAGACGGTCAAGACTGCAGACACGCAACAGGGAGACGGTCAGAGACTGCAGACACGCAACAGGGAGACGGTCAGAGACTGCAGACACGCATACAGGGAGACGGTCAGAGACTGCAGACATGATACAGGAGACGGTCAGAGACTGCAGACACGATACAGGAGACTGCAGACACGATACAGGAGACTGCAGACACGATACAGGAGACTGCAGACACGATACAGGAGACTGCAGACACGATACAGGAGACTGCAGACATGGTACAGGAGACGGTCAGAGACTGCGGACATAGTACAGGAGATGGTCAGAGACTGCAGACATGGTACAGGAGACGATCAGAGATTGCGGACATGGTACAGGAGATGGTCAGAGACTGCAGACATGGTACAGGAGATGGTCAGAGACTGCAGACATGGTACAGGAGACGGTCAGAGACTGCAGACATGGTACAGGAGACGGTCAGAGACTGCAGACATGGTACAGGAGACGGTCAGAGATTGCAGACATGGTACAGGAGACGGTCAGAGACTGCAGACATGGTACAGGAGACGGTCAGAGACTGCAGACATGGTACAGGAGATGGTCAGAGACTGCAGACATGGTACAGGAGATGGTCAGAGACTGCAGACATGGTACAGGAGACGGTCGGAGACTGCAGACATGGTACAGGAGACGGTCAGAGACTGCAGGCATGAGAGACTATAGATGTAGAGACTCAGAACATTCTCTGGGAGACCTATACATTCCATAAGACTGCTAGAGAACACCGCCACAGCAGAGAAAGTACGGATGAGTGTATGGCCCCAAGGGCCACATAAAATGCCAAAGGGCCACAGGTTGGGCATAAAGTCACTTCCTGAGATCATTGCTTACTACGTGTGAAATCTGCAAATGATCACAGAGGTCACATGGTACAGGGCTATTCACAACAGCCTTGCACCATGTGACAAGCTGTGAACAATCACAGCTCACACAGTATTTCTCAATGGCTGCAAGAATGCAGCCAGAGAGATGATTGTTTTTATGGGTGTAAAAACAATCAGTGTAAAAAAAAAAAAAAAAAAAAAAACTCTTCATCACCCTCCTCAAGTGACTATGGTACACTGTACTGCTAAGGTGACGGTGTGTTTAAAAAAATAATATAAAAAAAAATTAAAATGTACAAAAAATTTTTTTTGAAAAAGTAATTTTTAGTTAAAAATTAACTTGGGTTTTTTTTTACTAAAAAAAAAAAAAAAAACACATACATTTTGGCCAAGATTTATGAATAAAGATTATTTATTTGCAAAATTGTATAAAACAATTTTTTCAAAATTATTGGACTTTTTTATTTACATAGCAAAAAATAAAAATCCCAGTGGTGAATAAATACCACCAAATGAAAGCTTTATCTGTATAAAAAACAATGCTAAAAAATTCATTTGGGTACAGTGTTGCATGACCGCGCAATTGTCATTCAAAGTGTGATAGCACTGAAAGCTGAAAATTGTCCTGGACAGGAAGGGGGTGAAAGTGTCCGGACTGGAAGTGGTTAACGACACACCGAAACCGGTTCACAGAAAGTGGTGCGATGTGCAGAATCGGATCGCATGGGTGTGAATACCCATACCATCCAATTCTGGTTCTGACAAAAAGAAAAAAAAAAAGGGTCCTGCGCTATTTTGGTGTGGATGCAGTGCGATCTGAGCCATACAAAATGTATGGCTCAAATTGCAGCGCACAGAAATCGCATGCGATTTCCGCAGGAATGCGGTGCGGTTCCTGTGCAAATCACACGCAATGTGCCGCACCGCATCAGTGTAAACCTGGGCTCAACACCATTCAATACCTGTGCAAATCTGCCACCGATCTCTGAAGTGCTCTTCCCCAATATACAATCCTATACAGATGCACAGATATGCATTGATCGATCCCTGAACTGATCGGCAATTTAGAACTAGAAGTGCTCACAGATTTCAAAATTGAAGCAATTGTGCAAAAATGATTAACTTGTTCAACAAATGTATAAAATATTCTCAAGAGTTCCAATATCGCAGTCATCCGCTTGTGAAACAAAGTGACATCTGGGGGGGGGGGGGGGGGGGGGGGGGAGAGGGGGGTTCAGCCCACGAATATTTTTAAAATGTAGGACTTGGCCCTCATAATAAAAAAAGTATGGAGACTCCTGCTACAAGATGCGATTGGCATCTTACCCTGCTGGCAGTAAGGATGGGTTTTGCCTCAAGTTGGGCACCAGAACCTTCTGACAAATTCCTGAGCTGACAGTTGCACTGTTCTCAGTCCTCTCTATGGACTACAGAACACCTTCCCCTGTTATAGAGATTAGGGTGACAACAGTGCTCCCTCATACAGTATAGTAAGTGGGGGGGGGGTCATCCTAAGACAAGAAGTGTGTTCCTGGCGGGGATCAACAATACAGTCACCACATCTAATGACTGGTAAGCTGTAACATATCACATTTTTGTTCTTAGGTTTAGATACCCTGTAATGGTCTATTGCTATAGACCACAGACTTCAACGCACCCAGACTCTGTAAAGGGGGGCCGACTCTAATGGGGGCCGACTCTAATGGGGACCCTGGCATAAGTGGGGGGGATCTCCAATGGGGACCCTGGAGTAAGGGCTGGGACGCCAATGGGGACCGTGATGTAAGGGGGGATGGAATGTAAGAGGGGACTCCGACTGGAACCCTGACAAAAGGGGGATGCCAATGGGGACCCTGACGTAACGGGGATGTAACTCCAATGGGAGGCCCTGGCATATAGGGGGGGACTTAGATGGGGACCTTGGCATAAGGGGGGATGCCAATAGGGACCCTGACATAAGGAAGGGGGTAGGAGATTACTCCAATGGCGACCCTGGCGTAAGGGCAGTGACGCCAATGGGGACCGTGATATAAGGGGGGATGGTGATGTAAGAGGAGACTCCGACAGGGTCCCTGACAAAAGGAGGGATGCCAGTGGGGACCCTCACGTAAGGGGAGAGGTAACTTCAATGGGAGGCCCTGGCATAAAGGGGGGGACTTAGATGGGGACCTTGGCATAAGGGGGATGCCAATAGGGACCCTGACATAAGGAAGGGGGGTAGGAGATTACTGCAATGGCGACCCTGGCGTAAGAGGGGAAGCCAATGGGGACCCTGGCATAAGGGGGGGCAACTCCTATGGGTACATTGGCGTAAGGGGGGGGTAACTTTGATGGGGACCGTGATGGTGGTGGTGGGGTGCTTGGGGACTACAATGGGGACCCTGGCATAAGGGGAGGAATGCCAATGGGGACCCTGACATAAGGGGAGGGGGGATGCTAATGGCAACCCTGATGCTGATGGGGACCCTGGTGTAAAGGGGGGTAGCTCTGATGGGGACCCTGACGTAAGGGGGGAGGTAACTCCAATGGGAGGCCCTGGCATAAAGGCGGGGACTTAGATGGGGACCTTGGCATAAGAGAGGATGCCAATAGGGACCCTGACATAAGGATGGGGGGGTAGGAGATTACTCCAATGGCGACCCTGGCGTAAGGGGGGAAGCCAAGGGGGACCCTGGCATAAGGGGGGTAATTCCTATGGGTACATTGGCGTAAGGGGGAGATAACTTTGATGGGGACCATGGTGGTGGGGGGATGCCAATAGGACCCTGGCGTAAGGGATGGGACACCAATGGAGACCGTGATGTAAGGGGGGAAGCTGATGTAAGAGGGGACTCCGACAGGGACCCTGACAAAAGGAGGGATGCCAGTGGGGACCCTGACGTAAGGGGAGAGGTAACTCCAATGGGAGGCCCTGTCATAAAGCGACCCTGGCGTAAGGGGGGAATCCAATGGGGATCCTGGGGGCATAAGGGGATGGGGGGGGGGGGGGGGGGTAACGCCTATGGGTACATTGGCGTAAGGGGGGGTAACTTTGATGGCGACCGTGGTGGTGGTGGTGGTGTGGTGCTTGGGGACTACAATGGGGACCCTAGCATAAAGGGGGGGACGCCAATGGCAACCCTGATGCCGATGGGGACCCTGGTGTAAAGCGGGGTAGCTCTGATGGGGACCCTGGCGTAAGGGGTAAGGTAACTCCTATGGAAACCCTGCTGTAGAGGGGGAGGGTGGGGGGGGGAAATCACTCACTGAGGTACTTTGATTGGAACCCTGACGTAAGGGAGGCGGCAATGATGTTGCTGACACAAGAAGGGACTTTGATGGGGACCCTGGCATATTGGGGGCGCCAATGAAGATGCTGACATAAGAGGGAACTCCAATAGGGATTTTTTCAGCCAACAGATATTTTTAAAATATACAACTCGGCCCTCGTACTGAAAAGTGCAGAGACCCCTGCTATGGGATGAGTTTGGCATCTTACCCCGCTGGCAGTACGGATGGGTTTCGCCTTTAACTTTGGCACCAGAACTTTCCGGTACTGCGGCGGCACGGCGGCGATGATATCCACGAGCCGGGGCTGGGCAGACAGTCCATACTTGGCTGATGTTTTGGTCTTCAACCTGCGGAAAGAACGGCAAATATTTGAGAGCTACTCGCTATAGGAGGAGAGCCTTTTTTTTTGTTTGTTTCTTTTCTTTAATTAACTGCGACTGCTGAACTCCTCCGCGCTCTCCGTAGCTGGGGGGGTAAACACAGAAAGCACTCGCAAGACGCTCTGCGCACAAATCCAATTACCCAGCACGGCGCTGGCCTCCATCAAAGCACAGTACTTTGAACATGTGCCTTCTGATAGCCGGGCTCAGAGCTCCAGCTGCTCGGCTAATATGCATCGCCGCTATGCTTCCCGACGCACGCAAATTGTCATTTACTAACTTCCCCCAGCTGATGCGTCTCGGAGTTAAAGGAGAACCCTGACAAAAGCAGAATTTTATGTTAAAATCAGGTAGGAAAGTCATATTAATTAAGAGCATTTGTCGCAGACTTGAAGTATTAGTATTGCTATATTAATTTTTCCTGTTTTGAAAATGTGTGCATAGCCTCAGTCCATTCCTGTAGCTGCCAGAGGGGGGGGGGGGGGGTAGGTTATACATCGAATTCCTGCTGACTGCAAAAGTGAAAGAACACATCCCTGGGACCTTTTAGACATGCATGTTGCGGGGAGGGATGCTGATGGTGTAGACCAGTATTTGGATCAACGTTTAGAGTTGCCATGATGTGGGCCAGCTGGTCACCAGCACCATAACAATGACAATCTAGGGCCAGGGTTAAACAACAACTTTTTTTGCTAGGGTGTTGACTAGCTGGCAGCCAGCCTGCCTGAACCATGGCAATGCATGACACATTGATTCAGAGCAGGCAGTAGGCAGCATCACCCCCAGAATTCTATGGACATCTGGCTTCTCCAGACCTGCTCCACCTCTTCCCCTCTTCCACACTGCTGGAGGCAAAAGGTCGGGCTCTGATGTGAAGGGAGGGTCCTTTGATATAAGGCGGGGCCCCTCTGACATGAACAGGGAGGGGCCCCTCTGACATAATATTTCATAAAGGTGGTTGTGTGCACTGTCCCAGGCTCGGGTTTCACAATAAGTAATACCGATCCTGCCAGAAATCCATCAAGATGACAACTTCCTGAGCCGACAGTTGCACTGTTCTCAGTTCTCTCTATGGACAAGAAAACACCTCCTATCATGTTATAGAGATGAAAGTGACAAACACTGCTCCCTCAGTACAGTGAGTGAGGGGTGGGGGGGGGGGGGGTCGTCATCCGAGGACAGGAAGTGTGCTTCTGGCAGGATCAACAATGTAGTCACCACATCTAATGACTGGCAAGCTGCGATATATCACATTTTGTTCTTCAGTTTAGATTCACTGTACTGGTCTTTTGCTATAGATAAGGGGTTTCCAAACTACAGCCCAGGGGCCACATCCAGCACAAATTTTTTTTTTCTGCCTGTAGCTGGAGTCAGTTGCCTTAATGTGTATACAATGAGAATTAAAGTCAGCAGAGGATGCCTATGGTCTCCGCTTCAACCCACCCAACCTGCTCCCAGACTCTGTAAGGGGAGACTCTGACGTGGGGGGGGGGGGGGACTCTGATGGGAAACCTGGCCCTGGCGTAAGAACAGAATCCAATGGGGACCCAGCCTGCCTAAACCATGGCAGGGAAAGACAAGGATTTAGGGCAGGTGGCATGCAGGGCCACCCCCAGCATTGGATGGAAGTCTGGCTTCTCCAGACCATCTCCGATGGTCTTCAAATGTGTGAAGGGAGGAGGCCCCTATGATATGTAATTTCACCAAGGTGGTTGTGCGCACTATCCAAGGCTCAGGTTATTCAATGATAAGTACGATTTACATTTTAGATTCAGCAGCAGAGAGGAACATGCTCATCTAAAGGGATGCCCGAGACATATTTTGCTCACTCCCTGCTCTCAGTGCATCTGAATGAGTGTCTATAAAAAGAAGCTACTGAGAAAGAATGATTAGTAGGGACAACCATAAAGGAAAGTAATTGAGATGGAGATCTCAGGACCAATAAAAAGATATTTATAGGGACTAAAAATTTACACAAAAATGTAAAAGAAACAGGATGAAATGAAACAAGTAAGAATTGAAACTCCGTCGCCGTTTTGCGTTCAATTGCCCAGCTCTGTTATGTCTCACAGAAAGGTGATGAGGAGCTGGGAGGCCAGGCTACCGATCATGTGATCACTGTGGTAGTCAATCACATGACCTAGAAGCCCAGGAAACACCTCCCCTTCAAGCATTAACAGCTGACAGGAAGGGGTTAAGGAGATTCTGAACTTTGGAAGCTGTGCAGAAAAAAAGGTAGGCAGGGGACAAAGGAGTAGTCATCAGTATTGCATTTGACTGAAATACAATGCTTTGTTCTGCACAGTATCTCCATGTGGAGATGGCCATCTTGGTAGAGGCAGGGCTTTGCTTCCTCATGTCAGAGCTGACCCCCCCCCCCCCCGATGACAGGTGATCTAATGACTGGTGGGGTATAACAGAGGTGGAAGAAGAACAGATCTACAGAATGGATTAAAACAGAAGCAGGGAAATCCTTACACTGCGGTTCCTCAGGTACAGCTTCCCCTCCAGCAAGGAAAACAGTGATCAGCACAATCACGACATTACCAAATCTCACTCCAAATCTGGTGAGACTAGCAGATTCACAGAGTAGAGAAACATAAACAGGGAGATCCTTACACTGCAGGTCCTCAGGTACTCCTTGCTGAAGAGGAAGCTGAACAGTGATCAGCACAATCATGACATTACCAAATCTCACGCCAAATCTGGTGAGACTAGCAGATCCACAGAATGGAGAAACAGAAGCAGGGAGGTCCTCAGGTACAGCTACCTCTCCAGCAAGAAAAAAACAGTGATCAGCACTGTAGTGACACTATTATTATTATAATACAAGATTTATATAGCATCAACAGTTTGCGCAGTGCTTTACAAAATGGGGGCAGAAAGTACACTTACAATACAACTCAACATAGGCAATTTAGCAGCAGAGGTAGTGCTGTCAATCCAGAAAGCAGTGGGGTGGAGCTAGGTGTGTCCAGGTGCTCACTGACCAGCTACAGGCTTGTGAATCAGCAGTGAAAATGCTCATAGCCACGCCCCTTGCAATGTTTTCTCCTACCACTGTAGTGCGAGAAGGCACTGAATTCAGGAGCAGTGCAGCACTGTTGCAACCCCGTCGCAGGAAGCTGCATGCAGTGACATTTGCTGGCAGGATGAACTGGTTTATTCTGAAAAGAAAACGGGCAGATGCATTCATAATTACAGTGTTACTAAACCCACAACAGTACAATCAGTCTGTATATGAAGTAAAGCAAACTTGTTATACTCACTGTGGAACCTAAGGGGTTAATCCTCTACATTGTGTAAAAAGGCAGTTTGACCCTAATTGTTCTGTTCCTCCCCTTGTTTAAGCGACCACCTCTCATTCTTCTGATAAGACAGACTGAACCGTAGGCATTTAACACATGCTCAGTTTGGTGTGTATTGCTTGAGAGGTTTTCTTTTTTTTTTCTTGGGAGAGTGCATATGATCAGCACAGGGCCAATCAGCATTGGTAAGTCAGGAGGTCAGGGGTTCTGCATCCTCCTAGAGCAGAAAGAATACTACTCTTACTAGCTTTAACATGTGCTCTGCTGAACACATTGCTCTAACTGCTGATGAGAAAAAGGTATTTAGCAGTTTATATTTACTAAAATAATAAAATTTCCATGTTGTGTGTACTGTGGGAGACCGGATATAGTGAATGCAGGGTCCGGGGACACCGGATATAGTGAATGCAGGGTCCGGTGAGACCAGATATAGCGAATGCAGGGTCCGGGGAGACCAGATATAGTGAATGCAGGGTCCGGGGAGAGTGGATATAGCGAATGCAGGGTCCGGGGGAGAGCGGATATAGCAAATGCGGGGTCCGGGGAGAGCGGATATAGTGAATGCAGGGTCCGGGGAGACCAGATATAGTGAATACAGGGTCCAAGGAGACCAGATATAGTGAATGCAGGGTCCGGGGAGACCAGATACAGTGAATGCAGGGTCCGGGGAGACCGGATATAGTGAATGCAGGGTCCGGGGAGACCAGATATAGTGAATGCAGGGTCCGGGGAGACCAGATATAGTGAATGCAGGGCCCGGGTAGACCGGATATAGTGAATGCAGGGTCTGGGGAGACCGGATATAGTGAATGCAGGGTCCGGGGAGACCAGATATAGTGAATGCAGGGCCCGGGTAGACCGGATATAGTGAATGCAGGGTCCGGGGAGA